AGGCCATACTCTCAACAATCCTTGACACAACCAGATATGTCATTTAAGAAGTTTTACTGGCCGGGTTCAGTGGCTCAGTTTGTAATCCCAGCACTTTGGGAGGCCGAGGCAAGTGGATTGCCTGAGCCTGTGGGTTCGAGACAGCCGAGCAACTTGGCGAGACTTTGTCTCTACAATTAAAAAAAAAAATTAGTTTCAGCTACCTGGAAGACTGAGGTGGAAGGATTGCTGGAGCACAGCAGGTCAACGATGGAGTTGTTATGAGTGTGCCATGGCACACTCCAGCCTGGGTGACAAGTGTGAGACTCCAACTCAAAAAAAAAAAAAGTTTTACTGAAACTTTGTTGCTGAATACTTGTTAAGTCTTATCTCAAATTAATTGAGGTCAAGAAATGGTCTTCATTTTCAATCTTGTAAGTTCTGTGATATCTGAATTTTCTCGATTTTTTTTCTCATTTTAGAAAAACACAATGCTTACCTAAGCTTTTCTCTTATTGGAAATGTCTTGCTAACAGTAAATATTACAAATGAAACACTGCCTACAATAGTAGATATTCAGCCACTTATTTTAGAGATTCAGACTCATTGAGTGCTTGGCTACCTTCCAAATCGTTATGGGTTCCAGTTCTCCCAAACGTGTTGCTGTGGTATGAGGTTTCCTTAAGCTTGAGATATTTATTTCTTCACTGTCTGCTTCCCTACTGCTAAGCAAATACATATTTTTAGCTTGTTACTAGTACTCAATTTCTGGCAGTAGTTAGTTTATCCTTAGGTAATAACAGTTGTTATAACAAACACAGTAAAATATATTACTTAACCAAGATATTAGTTTATTTTTGCTCATATAAAGTACTAAATAAACATTCCTGATCAGCAGGTACATGTCCAAGTAGTAATTCACGGATTCCTGCTCTGTCTGTCCTGTGGCTCTGCCACCTCTAACATTGTGCTATTACCAGCATCAAACCAACAAAAGGAAAGCACTTTATGGGTCACTTTCCCTTTTCTTCATATTCTATGAACTAGAACTAAGGCACAAGGCCACATCTTACTTCAAGAGAGGCTGGGAAATTTTCACATAACTGTGAACTCAGGAAGAGGAGGAAATTGTCAAGTGCAAGCAATTTTTCTCATGGTCAGAGAAAAATTTCACTGAGTCATATTTCAATGTTATGAATCTTTGCTATTTCACTGAGTACTATTTCACTGAGTCATATTTCAATGTTATGAATCTTTGCTCCTTTGAAACAATTTTTTTAAATGGTATGATGCCACTGAACTATACTACATTACTATACAAATTCCAAGTGTATTTAATAAGTTAATTTAAAAACACAAATCTCTAAAATTTTTCATAATTTTTTCTAAGATATTAAAAGGATCTGATTTGTTCATTCACCTAGAATTTAGGTGTTTCTAGTTAATGTCACAATTTTTGTCCAAGTCTTTTTTAAGTTACATTTTAAACTTAGTTGTTTAGACAATAAAGGAGTTCAACAACTTTTAATGTTGTTAATATTCATAGATGTTAAGATGAGATGTAACATAGTAGTTAGTAGTGTGAACTCTGGAGCAAGACTCTGTGTGCATATGCTCACTTTAACTCCGTAGTTTGGAGTTCCTCCAGGAGAGCAGAGTCAGTGCCAAAGAATTTCTTCTCTATGCCAGGACAAAGGTCTTAAAGGGGCTCTCTCAGTAGAATTTTAGAAATGCTAATGCTTAGTAACTACAATGTCTCCTGTTCTTTCATTTATGAATGGGGCTTAATGTTGCATTACTCGATCTCTTTTCAATAGTACACTAGAGATGGCAGCAAATATACGAGTGTGGGTATAAGTATTGTGTGTATGTACATGACTTGGAGACCCTGGATTTTAAACTAGATGCAAACACTAGATAGTAATTTGGTTGGGACTCTTGATAAGTGGTGGCTGTATTATGTATTTGGGAAGAAGAGTGAAATGAACAGTTGGTGATCCGGGAAGTGGAATGTGGTAAAGATTGATCATTGTTTACCAAATGGTTTCTGCTTTCTCTTGAGCATTTAGCCAAGCTATATTTTCCAAAGTCTCTTACAGTTAGGTGTGGTCATAAAACTGAATTATAGTCAAGGGAATGTGACCAGAAATGACATTCAATACATCTAGTTTTGCCTTCAAAAACCTTGAGTCTGGGACTCTCCAAGCTCTTTTCCTTCCCACTGCTATAGAACTTTTTAGAATTCACATGCTAAAGGTATCAGCACCATAAGAAGGGAGGAGCATCAGTCTCTTAAACACCATGTAGAAAATCATTTCCTACCACTGATTAAAACTAGTCTTGGGTTTTCTGTAGTGGAGAAAGAAATATAGATGCTGTTTGAACCATTTGTTAGGCATGGCAGTTGATATTCCTAAATTAATAGGTTTGTTTTGAAAATTACCAAATGAAAAGAAATCTTAAATAACACATAGTTATTACAGTATGCATTGGCTATTAACTATATAATATATAAACACATACAAATCTTTACATATCTTCTATCATTATAAAAACCATATCTTCTTTATAATAGTTTAAAACTGAGAGCGCCATTTTATTTCAATGATAGCTGTGATAAATATGCTACTTTCAGAATACTGATAAAGCAGGGTTCTTTATATTAAATTTTCAGTGACTTCTCAGAACCAACTGTAACATATTGCACTTTCAATATCAAGTCATACATAAACCATATAAATGTCATGTTATTTTTTCCACAAGAGTTGGAATTGGAGCTCAGTTGCTTCTTTTTTTGTTTGTTTTTTGTTTTTTTGTTTTTTGGGTTTGTTTGTTTTTTGTTTTTGAGAAAGCAGGATTTATTGAGGACAGAAAAGCTCCCACCACAGGAGGGGACCAGAAGGGCTTGCCCCTCAGTTGCTTCTTGAATGTTCTGTGCCCATCCATTATCTCAGTCACAAGAAAATTAAAGCAACTGCTGAAAGGAAATGAATTATAACAATACTATGAGAAACCTATTTAGATTTAACGCCTTGGGAGAAGGAAATGCACATGACAACTCTTTTATTTATGCCTGACAAAATATTCCTATAGAGTTTTAAACATTTTAAAAATACTCCTATAGAGTTTAATACTCCTATAGAATTTTAAAAAATACTCTTACAGAGTTTTTACATGTTTTAACACAATATATTATCTTTAGCACATTTAACAAAACTTTAGCAATAAATATGCTAAAATGTAGTTCTACCAACAAGTAATATGCACTTGCTTGGAATTTACCATTTAATTTTCCCAAGAACTCTCACAGATACCATGAAGCTGATTTATAGACAGAGACCCTGAGTTTAAAGAGACTCAATCGTTTGCCTGATACTCAAAACACTGTGTTGGAGAAGATATCTAAACTCTGTCACCTCACCTCCACAGTTCAAACTTTGATCTACATTATGTATGCTGAGATTGACATTAATTATGAGTTCAGCAAGAAAAAGAAAAGACAGCATTATCTTTATTTTCACAAAGAAAGAAACTCAGAGAAAGTTTTAGCCATTTTCACAAAAATGAAGACTATTCAGTAACTTTGGAAATGTGATATTGCCCACTATCAAAAATGTTGCTTAAGGTTTTAATACAAAAAAACCACATTTTATTATTTGTGGTTTGTTTGTTTGTAAGTCGGGGTCTCTGTCACCCAGGTTGGAATACAGTGACACCATCATGGCTCACTGCATCCTCGACCTCATGGGCTTTCTGGTCTCAGGCCATCTTTCCACCTCAGCCTTCCAAGTAGCTGGAACATGCCACCATACTTGGCTAATGTTTTTCATTCTTTGTAGAGATGAGGTATCACTATGTTTCTTAGGCTGGAACAATTTTTAATATATTATTAAAAATACAACGACTAGACTGCTTTTTCTACTCACATCACCAGACATGTTTCAGTAAAAATAAGAAGTACTAATTGCTAAAATGTTCTTATATAAATCATAATATAGTAAGAAAATAGACAAAATAAAAGCCAAATAAAGCACAGTGTTAGAGGTAAAAAAGAATGTTTTCAGCATGTAATGAAGGATGAGCTGAAAATTACAGTCTATATTCTGGAAGCACCAAAATGGATGACCCAGTATTGAAACTAAAAAATCTCAGAAGAGATATTCCAGTCTTCCTTCTGAATAGGCTGAGGTGTAACTTTTTTTTTTTTTTTTAAACAGCATATATCTTTTTAAACCTGATATCTTTTTAAAGAGACTATTGCATCCAGATTGTTTTAGGGAATGCAGAGGATAAAAGTGCACAGGCCCAGGGGTCTTTTGAGACAATTTGGAAGTCCAAACTGGAAATATATGAACTGAAATAAGGGATTACCAATATGATTTTAAGTGACAGACCCAGAAACTCAAGGATTTTCACTAAAAAAGAAATGACTTTTATACAATGGGCTAATTATAAATACATCTCTGTGTCTAATCAGTCAAAATATAATATACAAAAAAGTGTGGTTGTTAATTGAGTTACAGTTGACACTTCTAGAGTCTTTAACCTCATTGTTCTTTTTTAGAACAAAGTAAAGGAGCTGGAGGCCCACCATGAGCAAGGAGACAAATGTGCACTTTTGTTCCATTTGGTGACTGGCCTCTATCAACTGAAGCTAGTAACTTTGAATTTACTTTAAATTCAAACTTTAAATTTGATTTGGATGATAAATTTAAACTCTGAGTATTTTTTTTTTCCCACAGGAATACTTGAAAACAACCAGCAGAAGCCTCCACTCTACGTGGATGCTTTTCCTGTGACTGATACATTTTAAGAACTTGGACAAGTTGACTTCTCTCATATGTAGGCCCTTGCCCCAACAGGCATTCACATTTATTTCAACATTATGGAGCATTTATGGCAACCTTGAATAAGCTTATTTAGTTATTTCAAAAGAGAAAATGTTTTTCTATGATCCAGTGTTTTTCAGCATTTTAAGAAACAACTAAGATAGTTATTATTCCAAGAGACTAAAAGCTTACAATCTAATAGGGACTGCATAGAATATTGCACATCTGATGAGGGTCTTGAACCATGAAGTGAAAATTTGAACTTTTCTCCATCTTTACTTCTCTTCTTTCCAATGTCTTTTGTGTCTGCTTTCTCTAACATATTAAAAAAAAAAACACACACAGTAAATCTTAACTAGAAAACCTCAAACTATGCTTCTTATTTAGTCATTGTTTTGAAAAAAAGGCCAAAACAATAGTATTATTTAAATGTGAGACCATAGCAACAATTTCTTCAGAATACAACCCTTCTAATTAGAAACATCACAATAAAACCAGAGAAAACTTAGAAAATTGATATGTATTATGAAAGACATGCAGCCTTACTTATTGTCTATTACATACAATTTTGTTTCATGGAGATGATCACTTGGATACATTTTATTTATATAAAATTGTTGCGTCAAGCTAATTTTCTATATAAAACAAAAAATAGCAAAGCACATACTGAAAGTTGAGTCCTAAATATGGAGCTCTCTCAGGTTTTCCTGATTTGGGGTCTCTGTCTCAAGAAAACACAGTTTTCTGTCTCCAACATATTTTCTTGTGGAACCCAGAATTCAACCAACATTCACAAACCAGCATCCTATTGACTATATGTCTTGGGTAATAAAACCTTTGTACCCAGAACTATCCCCACCATTTGAATTCTCATTCATATACTTATTTCTATGAAACATGTCATCCTTCAACTTCAAAAAATTTGTTCCCAAGACGTTTTTATTCCTTAATAAGTCTAGATTTCTTCCATTTTATTCTCTGTATCATCTGCTAAATTTGTAATCATTATTTGTCAGGTTGTTCATTTTTTTTAATTTTCATAAATAAAAACTACTTGACATTAACTACTTATAATCTTTCTTAGCATTCAAGACAAACTAGCCTTATATCTCAGTTTTTACAGTAGATTTTATACTTACATGAGATACAAAAGTAAAGATAACTATAATTTGAAACACAGGATGAGACACCTAACCAGGAAACTTAAGTATAAAAAATAGTTTATTATCAGAATTTTATTTTATGAATTTTCTTTCTATATATAGTAGCTTAATTCAATACAACTAATTTGGGGTAGCAATATGTGATTTCATGTATAATCTTAAAATAGGACTTCAAAAGCCTTCAAACTCCATTCAGAATTTATCATTTAGAAATAATATAATACATAATAAAAATTATAAATAGAAAAAATTAAGCTGTTTCACACAGAAATTTGGATAGTATACAACAGTGCTTACCAAAAATGTGTTTTTGCCAATGCCCTAAATAAGTGTGGCTACTCTGTCATTTCATTCCACCCATCTGGCAATACCCCATTCTATTCTGAATAAACTTGGCAGCTGATTCCTGCTGGAGATAATCCTCCCCTAGTTCTGCAAACCTCATCACATCTATTTTAAATCTCCGTGAGAATCTACATCATCCACCTCCACCTCACTCTCAGCTTGTAGCTAGGATGTGTATAAACAGAGAAAACAGAGGTCTTTTGTCACAAGTACTTGTCGTCTCTTACCAAGTCCGCTTACCCACCAACACCTGTACCCCTCATTCTTGTGACTTGTGCCTACTTGTTAGAATGGAGGAGCTATTGCTCCTTCTGGATTGGGCCTATCTGCCTTCTCAGAAAATTTACACTATTGCTGCCATCTCAGGGGGCTCTTCCCAATCATCACTTAAAAATACTCCATCTCCCTCATTAGCTTAACAAATATACATTCTGTTTGGGTCCCACATTATTCCCTATCAGCTTCCACTTTGCAACTCTACACGTGCTTTTACTTCCCACTTCTTACTTCTCTCCAACATGTCTTCCACTCCCGTCATTCTCAAATGCCTAATGGCCTCCATATCACAAAATCTAAGAGAGAAGTGTGAGTTATCATTATAGTTATCTCTCAACCAATATCTGAGCGACTTTTTTTTTCTACTTCTATACCAAAATGCTCTGCTGTTGTCCCTGCTCCTCTGGCTACTCCTTAGTCTTCTTCAGCTCATCCTTTTGTATCAGGCTCTCAGACATTCCACTTCCAGACTCAGCCTCACCTTCCTTGTCTGCTCACTCTTTTCTGTCTCCTTGGGAAATACCATCTCTGGTTTAAATTTGCATGATTTGCCAATGACTCCCAAATGTATATCACCAGTCTGAGACTCCTCATGTGAAAAAAATCTACCTGGTTATCTCAAAGGCACCTCAAAGTCAAAATGTTTAAAATCATTTTGGGATCTCTCCTAATAGCTACCACCACCATTGATCCTGTTTTGCAACTCAGAATTCTACAAATCATCTTTGCCAACTTCTGCCACTTTTAATTTCTTCAATAGGAGAAAGATGTGTTCGATGGAAATTGAGAACTTCATGTCTCTTCCAAAATTGCTTTTGATTTTGAAAGAGAGCAAAGTGTGAAACAATGATCAATACATAGTAAACACCATTATAAATTCTAAAGTTTTAAAGGAAAAAAACGATCTTAATTACATGGCTATCTTCACAAACACTAAAGAAATGATCATGACAATAAAGATGCATTAGATTCACACAACGACTGTAAGGCATTTACATGCAATGTCCATAATGAATAGTCTTTGGATGTAAAATGTCTTACCCTTTGAAACTTTGTCACTTTTCTCGGGCACTTTAAGTGTTGTAAAGGAACCTTCAGCTTTGGATTCCTTCACATCTTTCACTTCCTTTCCATCTTTTATTTCTTTTCCTTCCTTCCCTTCTTTGCCGTTCTTCACCTCTTTCCCTGGTTCTTTTAATTTGGCATCCATCATTGTTGTTTTGCTTTCAGAGCCGGCCTCATCGGAAATCTTAAACTCAGGCAATATTTCTTTTAAGAGCTCCCAGACTTTGTCCATATATCCTGGGCTTTGAAACAGATATTGACATTAATTTCTAAGTGACGTTTCTGTTTTTAACTTTATAACAGGAGATTACTGACAGAAAAATTAGCTCACTATTTCATAAGACTAATTTCAATTGTTAATTCAATATTTCATTTAAAAAGCACCATTATACATTCATTCATTCGACAAGCTTTTATTGAATGCCTACTGTGAGCTGTGGGCTTTGCTGATTCAAAGAGACTGAAGCCATGGCCTTGTCTCAAGTATCACTCATTCTAGGCATGTTAACAACACAATAGGGAAAGAATACGCATTTGAGTATCAGTTAGGTGGCAGGCACTTCCCCATGTATCATCACTTATGCAGAAGTTCTTCATTTTACTTAGCTTTTCTGTGGAATGTGACAGTGTTTTTGTCTCTCTCCTATTTTAACCCTTCCCTGAGGCCTCCATAACTTCACTCCTTTTTGTTGTTGCTATTTTTCCTTTTATGGAAATGACTTGCAGACTTCTTTGAACACTCCCTTGTTTCTGCTCACTGTTGACAATTTAGGCTTGCTTTCCCAAAGGTCTCCTCTTTGTGTTCTTGTCATTCATTATTCTTGCCATTCATATCTTGAGTACATGGATGTAACTCTTAAACAATCAGCTCCAGGTCAAACCTCTCTCCTTATATCCAGACCCACACATACAACCACCTGATAGAAATGTGCCCCAAATTAAACAGACAAGTAAATAAATAAACAAAAATGTACTGCTATCACCTTCTACTGAAGACAGAAAATTAAGAATGACCAAGTCCCACTCCTTAAAATCCTCATCAAATAAAACACAATGTCACTTTGACCCTATCTCCTCTCACTGCAGTCTATCACCTATTCTTATAACCACTTCTTCTGCAGAAGCCTACAGAAGACCTCTCTGCACAAGTCAGTATCTATGATCTAGTTCTGCCATTTGTTGTCCTGCTCTGAGCAATCTTCCAAAATCACAGTTCTGATAAAGTCATCCTCCTGTCTACATTCCCTCAAGATTCTATCACTTTAAGGATGTTGTGAAAACTCCTTGACATGATTTAAAAGGACTCTGTCTATCTGGCTCCTGCTTACCACTCCACCCCATTTCCATTCCTCCTCTAGAATTCAGCAGTACATGATCCAGTCATATAGAACTATGTGTTCTTCTAGGACTGCACCCTGCTTTCTTCTATTTCCTTGCTATTTTTTCTTCTGAGAGATGACTTCCCTACCTCAATCAGCTGCATTCCAATACTACAGAATGAAATAATATAGCTTCCCGGACCGTTAGGCTTAAAGATAGGGGGAGCATAGTGCTATATTTATAGTTGGACCATGCATCAAAGACATGTGGTAACAAGAGTCCTCTCTCTATTTGAAATGGTCAGATATCTAAATGTTCAGAGATGTCATTGATTCTGCTTCTATGATTATATGGAAAATTAGAGAAGATTTTTTTTTCAAAGGTAAAAGTTCACTGATTGATACAAAAAAACTTAAGAGTCAAAGTCAACAATTGCAAATAGAGCAGTGTCTCCTTTTGGTGCTCACATGGGAAAGTGGAAGGGAAGGAGTTGTTTGTTCTAGTTGCCATAAAACACATATTCACTGTAGCTGATTTTTCACATAGTAAAAAATCAGTAGTTAACACAACTTTGATATGTTAGCACTCTAATTTTCCTAGACCTTTGTGAAATCATGGACACGACTCGCTAATTTTTCAATACACGTTCATCCTTTTTGTAACAGAAACATTCACTCTTGAATATGCCACATGACTTTGCTCATACTGTTATCCTGCATTCAATGCTCCTCTCTTTCCTTTTCATGAAACTAAACCCAGCCAACTTTCAAGATCCAGATCAAGCCAGAACGTTCTACATGACTCCTTACCTGACCCCTCCCTGCACCTCTGGCAGATGATGATTGCTCCCATTGGTCAATATAAACATTTCTTGAATCATTTACATACTGTTTTATGAAATTACTTTCATTTAAAATTAAATATACATACACATTAACTTTTTAATTTTACAGCATAGTTGTAATTTAAAATTATTTAAATGATGTGACAGAACATTCATATGAAAAATCCTACAAATCATGACATGGCAGATCAATGTATGTTTATTTTACTTTCTAGTTGTATTTAGGAGAAAACTGATAAATTTGGTTGTCAGCCTCACTTATTCTTCCTTATATTATTTTCTGTTTCCAAAAGTTGATTATTACCTAATGTACATATTTCTAGATAATGTTAAATAATACAACGAAAGTAAAGACGGGAAAGAAATTTTTACAAATTATGTCTTCTCCATACACTAGCTACTTTTTCTGACACTCTCACCAACTCAATCTTCAGAACAACCATATAGAATAGATTATATTATCCCATTTTATCGATGAGGAAACTGAGGTTCAGAGAAGTTTTATTATTTGAAGTACACATAGCTTAAAATTGAAAATGTAAGAATTTTAAATCTAGCCATATAGTTGTGTCTCCAAAGCTCAAATTTTTTCCCTTTCATAAAATTTCAAAAGCGTGTCAATTTATGCAAAGTAAACATCTAAAAATCCTTCATTTGAAAATTAGTATTAAAGCAATCTCTTTATAATTATACTTTTCAGTTTTTATGTATGATTTCACTATATGATTCCAGTAAAAGACAATTCACAATTTTTAACTGAGTAATTTTCCAGTTGTGAGTTATTCTGATTTCTTGTTTCTTTACCGTCCTCTGATAGACTTTTGGTGATTTCATGTCTCTGATATATCTGCTAACTGTTGCATGGGGAAAACTAAGGTAAAACTGCAAGCATTCCATCAATACTAAGGATAAAAATTTGGAGAAGTCCATACTTTCATATCTTATTATCTACTTCTCTCACTGACATTGTCCATCTTACATCAGAAAAAGATTTTCCACGAGAAGATCTAAAAGGGTACCATCTTAGACTTTCCCTAAGATAAAAACCCAGGATCAGCTCGTATCCTTCAATTTTTTTGCCTGCAAATATTTTTTATTTGCATCAAGCAACAGTTAGCATATCCTGCATCAAAGATAGAGTACATGGAAGACTCCAAGTTACTAGGGCCTGTCTTCAACATCCTCTAGCTTCTACCTACCCTGGGGAACTATAGCTTCTCACCATCAGCCAAAGATCAGAGGTGGTCTGAGTTGGTAACTGTACTGTGGATCTAATAATCTTGTAAAAGTCAGGATCTGAATTAACGCTATGTCCAAATCTATTGCTATAATTCTTGTCTATATACATTATCTTGATTGGTTTTCAATAGTCAATGGTAATATGTTCAAATAGCATGTCTATGTGAAATTTTGAGTAAACACTAAATTTTTTAAAACTCATAAATTTTTTAAATACATTAAAATGCCTGATGCACAAGAGATGTATTATTATGATTTTTCCTAATATGTATGACTAATTAAAAGCTGTTTTAATGTTTTGGTATTAAAATAAGTGTGATACCCGTAAAAACATAAAGGGAAATGTGTAAATGCTTTATTATAATAAATAATTAGCACTGCTTTAATATTTGTAAATCAGATATTTAGGGATTAAATTCATGATATATAGAAGTGTGGGAGACCAGCATATGCCACCCCCAGATATGAAAGAAGGTTGAGCTGGAGGCAATTAAGAAGAGACAGATCCAGAGAAGCTCACTGCCCTCCATTTGTCTAAAAGTAGGACACGGATTTACAAAAGCAAAAAAGGATCCTGGACCCCAGGTCCCGTCTACCCAAGAGAACAGATGTTAACCACTGATGAGTTTTGGATCCTTATCACCTGAAGATGGTACCAGAGGAATCTATATTAACAAGCTTTATTGACTAGCCTTTATCTGCCATTTATTTGCCTTTCCACAAGTTACTACCTGTAGAGACTCAAAATCCTTTTCCTATGGAGACTCAAAGTGCTTTTACTGTTCTTTGTTGGAGATCCTATATAAGCCAGAATTCAAAGTCACCGCTACACATTCCCTGGGTGTCTCTCATGTATAGGGTAAATATACATGCTAATAAACTTCTGTTTGCTTTTTCTTGTTAATCTGTCTTTTGTTACAGGGAACAGTTCCAACTAAGAACCTGTAGGGGTTCATTCGTCTACATAAAGAAACAGAATTTACCCTGACAGTTCCAAGAAACTTTATACAATACTATAAAATATTCTTTTTTCAAGAATTTTTGTAAAACATGACCTTTTCTTGAAATTTTCTTAAAGACTAAGAATATCTTAAAGAAATCTTGGGAAGAAAAAAAATTGGTATGAGCAATTTAATAGTCAAACCTACTGAAGAGAAATGACTTCTGGTAACCACCCGGTGAGTGCATGAATAACTGTGAACTCTCCCAGTTCTCTCCTCTCTGCTACATGGATACTAAAAGAGAAAATGCATAATGCTATAGTTACCAAAATCTGAAAACACAGAAAGACATATAAGAACTAGGAATCACTAATAAACATCAGTATAATAATAAATGTAGGGGTTATTCTGATTATATGCTAAAAACTTTATAAGAAAATACTATCTCAACAGTCATATGATTTGTTTTGTTAAAGCACTTAAGAAGGACCAACCAACAACAAAATTTCATGTATGTTTACAAAACATGTTTATATGCTTAATTTTTAAATTATCTAAAGTTAATATTAATGCCATATACGTAAAACATATACATTATATATTATAAAATCTATAATATAAATAGTATATAATCCATTTTACATATTCAATATATGATCATATTCTTTTAAAAATAGAATAGTGTCTTTCATTGTTCTGATTTCAGTAATTATTTTAAGATGCCTCTGAGACGGTATATATTAGATCAGTCTCGTCTATGGCAGGTGAAGATGACCATCAGAAATCCTTCATCAAATCCTTAGATAACTGTAGAGACACCAGAAACATCTGTTCTACCCTATACAAAAGAGTGGGTCTGTCAGTATAACATAAAGCCAAATGAGGTTATGATTGACCAGATATGGCTATTCTCATTTAGTCCTTTTATTTTTTCTTGAGGTGATTAGTTTACTTACACTTTGAACACATAAATGCCATATCTCTCTTTCTCTCAGAGTTACCACTTCAGTTGATCCTGTGTCAATAGGAGTGATGATGGCACTGACCAGCACACGTTCTATTCTTCAGAAGAAAATCTACCTCGCACATATCCCACTATTTATAAATGTGCATTGGTTTGTTGTTTATGGATTATGAATTTCTATATGTCTGCCTATCTCAAAGACAAATATCTGTTGAGATAGATCACAGTCTATTCTAAACTTCCCTTTGGATAATTATATTTATAAAGTGTCTTTGAAAATCTCATAGAAATGATGTCCTTTTCTCACATTGGTATTGAAATTACTATGTATTAATTTTTTAAAAGTAGTAAGCTAAATTAGCCGGGTGTGGTAGCATGCGCTTTTGTTTCAGGTACTTGGAAGGCTGAGGTGGAAAGATTGCCAGAGCCCAGCAGTTCGACACTGGGGTGGCAGTGAGCGTGCCACTGCACTCCAGCCTGGGCGATGGAGTAACACTCCAACTCAAAAAAAAAAAAAAAAAAGAGTAAGCTAAACCTTATATAAAAATCATCACTATATACTTATAAAGTCTGATAAGAATTTATGGAAAAATATAAATTGTACTATGTAGATGAAATGTATTACACTTGCTCCTTCATATTCAAACTAGATTTTTTTTTTTTTTTGAGAAAGCGGGATTTATTGAGAGGACTGAAGGAGTTGCCCAAATTATTTTTAATAATAATAATTTTATTACTTATGTAACTATAAAATGCTACTGAACTACAGCTTTAAGAAAGATAAAATCTCACTCTGATTATCCAGGTCATGTATTTAATGCTTCATTGGTCTTGTAGCTCTGATTCTCAGAACTTCAAGTTAGGTCTGAGAAGCAAGAACATTAGGAAGTTGTTTTTTGTTTTTTTTTTTTTGCCAACAAACTTAGTTGCCATCAGTGTGAATACTCAGTGGTATTTAGTTACCTAAAAAGATCTGGACTGAGTTTTTCTAAAATCATTGCAATTAAGTGCTGAAAGCTGGTGAAACAAATTTCCAACAGAAAATTGAGGGCGGGTAGGAAAAAAGAGAGAAGAAGAGGACGGCAGTAGGAGTGGTTGTTTTTTGTTTTGTAGCCATAGAAGACAAAAAGGAAGCTGAGTCTAAAGAAAATGCACACAAAGCAGACCTGGCTTCTGACTGACACTGCAATGTTTATGAAAAGGGGAGGGAGCCAGGCTCGGTGGCTCAGCCTGTAATCCCGCGCCTTTGGGAGCCTGAGATGAGTGAATTGCCTGAGCCGGCGGGTTCGAGACCCGCCTGGGCAGCGAGACCTCATCTCCACAATAAATCAAAAACCAGCCAGGTGTGGTAGCGCATGCTTGTAATTCTGGCTACTTGGAAGGCTGAGGTGGAAGAATCGCCGGAGCCCAGCAGGTTGAGGCTGCAGTGGCCGGGAGCGACCACTGCACTCCAGTCTGGGTGACAGAGTGAGACTCCAACTCAAAAAAATAAATTAATTAAAATTAAAATTAAAAATAAAAAAATAAAAAGGGGAGAGGCCTGAGCTTTGAGCAAATCACTGATGTGGGCTGTTAAAGCATGTGGGTGAGTTCTGTGGAATACTGAGATGCTAGGACACACGGCAGGAGGCGGAAGGGTATAAAATCCAAGTCTGTGCAGTGTATATAAGGATTCTCCCGTTGAGCAAGGATGCAAAGCTGTAATGCATCTCCAACTCAAGCATCAAAGCTTTTTTGCAGTGTTAGGGCCAGGATGGAATGACTGCTTATCTCCGGAAATGGAAGCTGAGAGAATAGCACATAGCAGACATGTCTCACATATGTTGGTACACAAGTCATGTAGGAATATAAGACACAAGCAGAGTTTGCAAGGATATTGAAGGAAATGTGAGCATAGATTTCATCATAAACGTATCAAAAGTGACCGATGTTATAAAAAGCATGAGGAACATAATGCCATCCTTTAGAAGAGTTCAGGGTTCTCAGGATTAGTAAGTTATTGCTGCATACACAAAACCCACAGTTTTAACTAGATTCCAGTATATATTAGTTAGTATTTAGTTGAAATGATATTTCCCCCTACACAACATTTTTTTTTTTCACCCATTAAGTTGAAACATTATTTTTCACTAGTGACTTTCCATTCTTAGAAAGCATTGAATATAGAATGATTTTTGGTTATTTTTTTCTTGGGAAATTTTGTCTTATTGTTGACTAGCCCATTATGTCAAATCAGTGGCTTTGGCACATTTGTTTTCATATTGGAAAGTTCATGTCGTTTGGAATTTTAAAAAACATCTCTTTTAATTGATTAAAAAATAAATCTATGTAATATGGATGTGTAGTTGTTATTATTTGCCTTTTATATATAAGTGAGTGATAATTTCTCATGACATACTCAACGTTTGCCAGCTTAATGATAGCTTTAGACAAAAGCATTGGCCAGAGTTCAAATTCATAGGTTGTGGCTGGAAGCAATAGATTGTTATCTTCATCAAAAGGCAGAAAGTCATCAATAGTTATCTTTCTCCAGCAACCCTAAAAATAAGAAGAAAGGAATGTAATTCCATCAATAATTGATAGTATTTGTCTCATACATTATTGTACACAGCTGACATTACTATCTACTGTTTTATAACTTTATTTTAGCATCTTTATTTAAAGACCGAGATACTTGCTTTTTCAATATTGCTCTGGTTGATCATTTTAACTTATTGTTTTATTTAATATATTTACAGCACACCCATATCTATATCAATACTGTCCTTAAGGTCTCATGAGCAAATTCTTGGGTGTACCATCCTGCATAATGCAATGAATTAAAGTCTTTAAAATAACAAAGCCAAAACATTATATAACCATGGGTAATCTTGGGTATAATAAAATAACTTTATACAGCCATAATACAAATTCTTCAAATAGAACTTTAATAATAATTGCTTATCCTGAAACATGGTCAGTGATCTTACACTTCCAATTCCTATTCCTAATTAAAATTACTCCTGTTCCTAATTAAAAATCTAATTTTCTTTTAAGAAGGGATATCTCTTACGTTGCCCAAGCTGCTCTCAAACTCTTGGGCACAAGCAATTCTCCTGCCTCAGCTTCCTTAAGAACTGGGACTACAGATATATGCGACAATCCCTGGGCAAAAGATCTAATTTTAAACATGAAGTAAATTAATAACTCATTTAATAAAATCATTATATATTTACCTATATGCCTGCAACTTCATAATTAAAAGAGTGAAACAAATGATAACATTAATGTTGTGATCACAAACAAAGATCTTTTCTTTTACATAGGTTTTACATGCTAAGTTTTTTAAAAATTGAATTTCATTTAAAGATGTGGGGTACAATTTAGGATTAGGTATATAAGGGGTCATCGTACAGGTAAAGTTTGGGCCTCCCTTTGGTCCCTACTTCATCTAGTTTGACATCAGGTATTCTTACTGATGTTATGTTCTCCCCCACTCCCATCATTTTCTGGCACCGCCAATCCTTTTCTTATAGTATTGTGGTAAACGTTCAGGGTCCACTGATGGATAAGAATATGTGGTACTCAGTTTTTTGTTTCTGTGATAAATCACTGAATATCATACTCTAAATCCATCCATCCAAGTCACTGCAAAGTCCATAATTTTGTTCTTCTCTATGGCTACGTAATACATGCTAAGATTTTTTTTTTTTGAGTCAGAGTCTCATTCTGTCACCCAGGCTGGGATGCAGCTGCAGGTTCACAGTCATCACAGTCTAGACTTGTTGGGTTCAGGTGATCTGTCCTCCTCAGCCTTCCAAGTAGCTGGAACCACAGGTGCATGTCACCATGCCTGGCTATTTATTTATTTATTTATTTATTGTAGAGATGAGGGCTTGCCAAGTTGCCCAGGCTGGTCTTGAATCCCTGGACTCAGGCAATCCTCTTATCTCCTCCTCCCAAAGTGCTGAGATTATAGGCGTGAGCCACCATGCCCGACTACATGCTGGGTTTTATTATGAATTTATTCCTTTGCCAAAATATATTTTCAACAGTGATGTCAAGCATTGTGAACCCAAAGATCCCATAACACATGGGCTATACCACTGAACTACTTACAGTCTAATGGAGAAGGCAGTTATGCAATCAATTATAAAATATAATATGTTCAAAGAGCTCTAGGACCAGAAAGAAAAAAGTGACTAATTTTGCTGGGGAAAGTCTTCACAAGAAAGTGACATTTGAACTGAAGATTCAAGGAACAGCATATTTTCCCCTGATAGACAGAAGCAATAGGGTGAAAAATGTTTTCTTCATATGACACTTGTAACCTTGACCTTTATATTGTCTTATTTATTGGTTATGTGCCTTTTTCTTTCTTTCTTAATAAATGATGTAAAGTAAGACATGGTGAAAGGCACGGATGTTTAGCTATACCCCTTCTTATCTCAAATGAAATGACTAAATTAATAATACACAGAGAAATAAGCAAAAGAACAAAATTCACTTATTTGAGGTATCTCAGAAAAGCCTGTTACGAGAGAAAGAATGAGACTACCAGGGACTGGAGGGAGAAGAGAATGGGAAGCTATCATACAATGGGTGTAGAATTTCTGTGTGAAATGATGAAAATTGAGAAATAGTGTGATGGTTGCACAACACTGTGAACATACTTAAAGTCACAGAATTGTACAGTTAAATGATTAAAACGCTGAATGTTTTGTTATGCATATTTCACCACAATTAAAAAGTAGCAACAGGAATTCCCTTCCTATACTTTGATTTTCAAAAATCTTCATGGGCAAGATTCCTATGAAGAAAAAATCTTAAGCAGCCATACAAACATAAGTCAGATCAGTCCAACAGGTATAAGCAATGGCATTTTTCAATTAAGAATGTTTTGATTACTAAACACCACTGAACTGCACATTTTAAATGGGTGAGCTGTATGGTATGTGAATTGCATCTCAGTAAATGTGTTACAAAAATAAGACTACACGAGGATGGATATTTGGCATCATATATATTTCTAAAACATAATTTGACCAGATTCATAACAATTTTCTTTGAAATTTTTGGATTTATTGATGCTCATACATTGTTGATTATTTTCTGGAAATTTATAATGGAATTATATATATGCTAATTATCCAATGTCCGGTGTGATGGTGATGGTATTTGGAGGTGGGGACTTTGGGAAGTGATTAGGTCTTGAGGGTAGAGCCCTCATGAATAAAATTTGTGTCCTAATAAGAAGTTGAAGAGACCAGAGTTCTCCTCTTCTACCATGGGAGAAGATGGCGAGCCATGTATGAACTAGGAAGCAAGCCTTTTCCAGACATGAAGTCTGTCAGAACCTTAACCTTGGACTTCCTGGCCTCCAGAACTGTCATACATTTCTGTAATTTATAAATCACTCCTCTATGTTATTCTATAATCTATGTTATTATATAATCATAGGACTAAGATTATATAAGTATACATAGCTTATTTCAGACCTCATCATAGACCATTAAATTATTTTTGCATTTGATATTTTTATTACTGCATGTAAATGACATATTGAACATTTTAAAGTTGCTACTGTGTTAGAACCACATTGTTTAAAAAACTTATCAAAATGTTTATTTAGCATGCTTATATATTATTTTATTATAAATTATATTTATATTACCTAAATTACTAAACAGGATAAATATAAATTACTAAAATAGAATACGGTCATGTTCACATTTTAATATTTTCTACACTTGAATTCCAGGTCAAGATAATTAAATGGCTACTTACTTTTATACCTTCTTCCTCTCATGAGCATGCCAAAAGAATAATAAAAATGTGGGTTTTTAAAAAGTATTGGTATAAATCACAATTACAGAAGATCAAGAAATGATCGGTAGACAGAGATTTCATCAAATATATGAATAATCAAAATTATTTAGACGGAATGAAACCTGACCTCACTCTCCCCACTTCCACTGCGATTACAAGGTGGTGATTTTCCCATGCAGGTTCTGAGGGTGGAGCTCTGACTTCCATGCCAGCCCTGAAGTAAATAAGAAAGTTACTCTCCCCAGTGGGTACAACTATGACCTCTATTCTCCTCCTGCAATAAAGGAGGTAGTGATTGTTATGGGAACCCTTATTTCTGCTGCCTCTCCCTACAGTAATGAAATGGCACACTTTCCCCTCCTCAGGTGGTGCTAAGGAGACTGCAGGATAAAGTACTATCATCTGAACAACAAACAAGTGTGGCAGAGCAGAATAGCACAGCAGAGGCTTTATAAACTAAGTTGGCATTTGAAACACAGCCCACAAAAGTGAGCCCGGATGTGACTTCTGAATTTAACTAGGTTGACTATCTGCTGAAATAGGAAATCAACTAAACTAGAGTCATAAAACATAACACCAAAAATATTCAAGAAACTGTCCAATATTACTCATCATATCCAAAGCCAGGAATGCCAATAAGAAAATAGAATCAACAGACCACACCAAAGTAACAGAGGGAATTGGAATTATTAAATAAGAAATAAGAGTCAGTGCCCTGAAAAGGTTGCAATAAGCAATTATGAGCACTCTTGAAAAAAATTACAAATAGAAAATCTCAGCAAAGATATAGAAGACATAAAAGAGAAAAAAATAGAAATTTTGAACTTTAAATTAAACTAAAAAACAACTCTCATTTGATGAGATCCCTAGCAGAATGCAGGTGACATAGAAATTAGTAAACTGCAAATTAGATCCATAGAAATTATGAATAACAGGAAAAATAGATTAAAAATTGTATGAGGCTCAGAGGCCTATGGGACAATGAGAAAAATATGTAATATTCATGTCATTGGAGCAACAGAAAAAGAATAAAAATGTGGGGTTGAAAATATATTGAAGAAATAATGGCCTAAATTTGTCATAAGAAATAAACGTACAAATTTATAGAGCTCAGAATAAACCAAAAGAGATAACCCCAAATAAATTCATAACCAAACATTTCAAATTCAAACTTCCAAAAAGTTAAGACAAAAGAAAAAAATGCTTGAAAGTCAGCAGCAAGAAATGACCTATCACAGAGAAAGAGCAGATTTCTCCTCAGAAGACAGGGAGTCTAGAAGGAAATGGTACAACAGTTTTCAAATGTAACAGAAAAGTATTGCTAACCCAGAATTCTGTGAACTAGTGAAAATACCCCTTAAGAATAAGAATGAAGCCAAAAGCTCACCATCACACAATATATCGATGTAACAAAGCTGCACATGCTCCCCCTGAATTTACAATAACTAAAAAATAAAAGAATAAAACACTGAAGTGCTCCTTGGAGTAGTAACTGGCTCTAGGTCTGGGGCACAGAACGTACAGTTTTGTGCCAGAAAGCAAAGAAGAGCATTGAACTTGAGGTCACGCGGAAGGACTAGGGAACCAGCTTTGAAAAGACTAAGTATCCAAGAGTCCTTGGGATATCACAGAGTAATGGCTTCAAAAAATTCAAACACACCAGATATGTTAAAAGCCAAGATGATACACACACCCTTCACCAGGGAGGAGCAAGGAAGGAGGAGGAGAAGGAAGAGAAAGAAGAGGAGAGGAATAAAGGTAAGGGAGTTCCTGCTTGTTGGGGTTTAAATCTGTCTTTCCTTAACCACTGTTAACATTGTCATGTCTAGATTCTATTTTTTCATCAGTCATAGCATCTCTATACTTGGGTATTCTGAACCATTCAATGAATATTGCATTATAAACACTTTTAGATGTTAAAAAAGAATAAACGTGAAATAACAATATTCTCTGATAAAGAAAAGATAATTTGTCATTAGCAGATTAGCTCAAAAAGTAATGGAGGAAAGAAATTTTTAACAGGAAACAAAAATGAGAATAAAAGAAAACTTGGAACATCAAGAATGAAGGAAGAGTAAAGAAAAATTATTACAAATCGGTTAAAAATTTACTTAAAAAGCAAAAAATAACCATAGGACTAAATATGATACCCCTCTTGTCTTGAGCTTTTAAAATCATATTTGAATTTAAATGCAAAATTTTCAATAAGGTTCTGAATATGGTTAAGAAAATGATATCAGAAAAGGAAGAGTATAAAGGGACCTAAATGGTGCTAAAGTATCTATATTCCAATGTAGGTAGCAAAATGCTGATACTGTGATAAGTTATGCATATATATTTTAAAGAGCAATCAACCACTAGAAAAAATTATACAGAGATATTCTCAAAAGCATGGATAAATCAAAATAGAATCCTAAAGAATTGTCAAGAAGCATACATGAAAAATAATAAAGACTATAATGAATACAAATTAGTATAAAAATAAGAAAGGTGACAAAGAATAAACAATAATATCACAGCAGTAAATTCCAATTATATAAAATATAAATGTTCTAAACACACGAATTAAAATATGGGTACCTTGAATGTACTTATCAAAATTAAGAACTTGCATATACTTTGAAAGAATAATTCCACATGTGGAAACCTAAAAGAAAAAAAGACTCATACAAATGAGCAAAAACATATACACAAAGATGCTATTTTATAGCATTGTTTGCTTTAATAAAACATTGATCCTAACCTAAATGTCTATTAATATGAAATTAGCAAAATAAATATATATATATATGCATCCCATATAAAGTAGATCAATACATGTTAGCATATGAAAAACAATAGTTTATAGCACAATAAGTATGTATAATTCTATTGCTATAAATTATATATAATGAGTTTATATATGTTTATAATAACAGAAGAAAGCTTAGGAGGATATACAAAAATTATTTACAACAATTGCCTGAATAGGGTAGAATTACAAAGAATTTTCATTGCCTACCTTGACAATTTAATAGTATTTAGATTTGCTTTATTAAAATCTAAAGCATGTATAATATTAATGATAGAAGAATAAAGCATTTCCATTAAGGAAGAAAGTAACTGAATGATAGAAAAATAATTTGTCATAGTTTATATCTTGAAACATTGTTCCTCAAATTTATTTATTAATTTACTTTAAAGATGTAGGGTTCAATTCAGGATTGGGTGTACAAGTGGTCATCATACAGGTAAAGTTTGGGCCTCGCTGGGTTTGAGATCGGGTATCCTTATTGATGTTGTGTCCCTCCCCTCCCCTGGCAGTATCCCTCTACTGCCAATCCCTTTCTAATAGTATTATGGTAAATGTTCAGGGTCTGCTTATGAGTGTGAAAATGTGGTACTCAGTTCTTGTTTCTGTCATAGATCACTGAGTATTATAGACACTAATGCCATCCAAGTTGCTGTGAAGTCCATATGCTTTTCCTTCTTTATGGCTGCATAATATTCCATCGTGTATATGTATCACATTTTTTATCCAGTTCAGTTTTGAAAGGCAGCACAGTTGGTTCCATGTTTTTGCTATTGTAAATAGTGCTGCAATAAACATGAATGCAAATATCTTTTTTTGTAGAGTGATTTGAGTTCATCCAGGTATATTCCCAGTGGGGGGATTTCTGAGTAATATGGAAGGTCAATTTTTAGTTCTTTTAGAAATCACCACACTGTTTTCAATCGAGGTTGAACTAGTTTGCATTCCCACCAACAGTGTAAAAGCGTTCCCTTTTCTCCACATCCTTGCCAGCATCTGTTGTTGTTTGTTTTATTAATGATGGCCATTCTTACTGGGGCTAGGTGGTATCTCAATGTGGTTTTGATTTGCATTTCGTGAGGCTGAGCATTTTTTCATGCGTTTGTTGGCCTTCCATATATCTTCCTTTGAGAAGTGTCTATTCATGTCTTTTGCCTACTTTTTAATAGAGCTGTTTGTTTTTTTCCTTTCAGTATGCTTGAGTTCCTTATAGATCCTGGATGTTAGGCCTTTGTCAGATATACAGTTGGCAAATATTTTTTCCCATTCTGTAGGCTGTCTCCCTGCTCTCTTGATGGTTTCTTTTGCTTTGCAGAAGCTTTTCAGTTTAATGATGTCCCACTTGTCTATCTTATCTCTTATGGCATGGTCTTTTGGGGTTTTGATCAGGAATTGGTTGCCTGCTCTGATTTCTGTAAGAGTATCTCCTGCATTTTCTAAGATTCTTATATTTTGAGGTTTTACATTTAGGTCTTTGATCCATTTAGAGTTGATTTTGGTGTGTGATTATAGGTAGGGGTCCTGTTTCTATCTCTGCATGTGGTCAGCCAGTTTTCCCAGCACCATTTACTAAATAGGTTCTCCTCTCCTCAGTGGTTGTTATTGGATGCTTTGTCAAAGATGAGTTGGTTGGGAAATTGAGGTCTTGTTTCTGGAATCTCTATCCTGTTCCATTGGTCCATATGTCTATTCTTGTTCCAATACTAGACTGTTTTGATGATTGTAGCCTTATAGTAAAGTTTAAAGTCTAGAAGTGTGATACCCTCTGCTTTGTTTCTTTTGCTAAGGATTGTTTTAGCTAGTCAGGTTTGTTCAAATTTCCATATCAATTTCTGTATTATTGTTTCTAGTTCTGAGACGAATTAGTTGATAATTTAATGGGTATTGCATTGCATTTGTAGATTGCCTTTGGTAGGATGGACATCTTAACAATGGCCACAAAAAAAAAATGGAATATTTTTCCATTTGTTTGTGTCCTCTTGGATTTCTTTGAGCAGTGTTTTGTAGTTCTCATTGTAAAGGTCGTTCGTGTCTCTGGTTAGGAAGATGCAGAGGTATTTCATATTTTTGATGGCTATTGTGATTGGGATTGTGCTTCTTATTTGGTTCTCTGCCTGTCTGTTGTTGGTATAAAGAATGCGGTTGTCATCAAAGAGGGATAACTTAACTTCCTCTTTTCCTATTTGGATACACCTGATTTTCTTTTCTTGTCTAATTGCTCAAGCTAGGACTTCCAATACAATGTTGAACAGGAGGAGTGAGAGTGGGCAGCCTTTTCTTATTCCAGTTTTCAGGGGAAATGCTTCCAGTTTCTGGTCATTTAGCAATAGGATCAGGTTGAGATTTCCAAAGTTGACGAAATACATTAAAATAAAATTCCAAATCAAGTAGATTTGGACTTGTGAAGAATCAGCACAATTAAAAAGAAGTAAGTCACACTTTTCTTTGCTAAACTAAAGGTAGTGTTAATAAATGTTTACCCCATTCCACAAAGGAATTCAAACAGAAGGAAGAATGTCAGAAAGTAGAGAGAGAGAGAGAGAGAGAGAGAGAGAGAGAGAGAGAGAGAGAGAGAGAGAGAATGAGAGAAAGAGTTAAACTAATAGGGTTGTTTCAGTGTTTTGAAATACTTAATAGTATTGACCCTCCTCCCACCTCAAGAAATGGGAGGGACAGGAGACAACAACCAGCCATTCGACCTCTTTTCTCTGTTCCCTTCTTTCCATCATCCCTCAACACTATCCACCAGGTTTTCTACTTTTTAAAACTATAGTGCCCCGCTCACTCTGCACACATTTGAGAGACTAAAGTCTGACAAGGAAGCCTTCTGAATGGTAAAGAAGATAAAAGGAATTTAGAAAGTTATTTTCTCTTCTAACAAAGTTTTAAGGTCAATTGTCTTGCTGTGAATGTTTAATAAACAAAATTCTATTTGGGATATTGGAAGCTATATTAACGTTTTTCACCTTGATGGTCCCACAGTAATGACCCAAGTAACTTCTAATTATTGGCCTTTCAGCATTCCTCATCTGAGAAAGATAGATGGCTCAGGCCCATTAGTGAAAAAGTCATGTTCTTATAAATATATAATGGAATGACTAACTGGTAATATACTTTTTGTGCTTTTTCCATGTCTTAAAATGTCCAATAAGAACATTCTTTTCCAGTAACTAGGACAAATAAAAACCTAAAGGAGTTTGATATGATCTAGCATTGCTAAATATTGTTTGAGTCTATTTCACCATAATTATCAGGGGTTTTGAATTCTCTGTATTTCCTACTTCCCATTTGCTTCCATTTATAGACAAAAATAAACTCTTTCTGTCTCAGATTAAGATGTGCTAATATGAAAACAAATCTCAAGTTTAGGACAAAAAACTGATGGAATCAGGCTCCTCGACTTCAGCAAGGCCCAAGAGAGGAGGTCTGGACCATAGTCCTGCCTGCTGCCCATGACCCTGACACCATATCACAGATGAAAGAGGAAGCAATGGAAACCCTGTGCATCCACCTACCTGCCTGGGAGTGCAGAGACAGTGACAGGACCAGCACCTACACACAGTGACCCTGCCTCCATGGTGTAGGCAACACTAGTTTAAACATCATATGGGAATGGTATTGCAGGAGAAGCAAGCTATGTTTCTTATTAACTACCAATTACATATATACAGGACAGTTATCATCAGTAGCTACACAATTGATATTCTGTATAAACTATATTTTCCGGTACTAGCCTAGGTAAGGGTGTGCAAGACAAATATATTTATCAGTGTGAAAGACACATGAGTTTTCATGCACATAAAGGTGAACTTACCATCCAGTAAAGCTTCACAACATACTTTCCATAGCTATTGAACAAAGGTATATGACCCTTCACAGCCTTGCATAGAGAGTATATGTGTTCCCAGGGCTTCCAGGGAAGAAGAGGCAGTTCCCCTAAAGTCCCTTTAAAATAATTGCTCAAAATCCCTCCATTGAAGATCTTCCACACTGCATAGATTTCACTGATAATCCATCTCATCAGCTAGAGACAAAAAAAATTAGTGCTAATTGGTTATTTTTCAGTTGCAGATACTTTAATTTAGAAGGAAATACAGTAAAAATGTACTTCCAACAATAGTATTAAATGTTACATGTAATGTATTCCACATTTTTATTTCTCATCTATAGAATGAAATTATAGGTCTTGTTTTTGCTTTTAGGAAATACAGTCATAATACAAACTAAAATGGCTAACACTGAATATTCCCTTAGCTAAGAAAGCTGTCTGCCAAAGTAAACTGTTGGTGATTTGGCAATGACCTCCATTTGACATTGACCTTCCTATCAGAAGGGTGTGTGTGTATGTGTGTGTGTGAGAGAGAGAGAGAGAGAGAGAGAGAGGGAGAATGGGAGAGAGGGGAGGGAGGGAGGGAGGGGGGAAGGAAGAGAGAATGGGTACTTTTGAAGGCACAGATGACTTTTACAAATGAGTGAGCTACCTTTTTGTAAATGGTAAGAAGCTTGAGAAAGAAGTTATCTCTTTTATGTCAATAAGATCAACTAGAGAAGGGATGGGATGTGAAAGAATTAAAATTGCATAGGCACATAAATGTACTTTAAATCCCATATATCATACATTGATCTTTAGGTGCTAAAATGTTCTAAGTAAAACTTCCACTTGCAGTGTTTTTAACAGGTAACAAGGCTCAGTGGGAAGGTAAGCTTCCAAGTAGAAATAGAGACCAGAATCTGAATTCTCCTTCAGATCTCTCATAGCCTTCTGCTGTTGGGCAAGCCACTTCAGCCTCTCTAAACTGCCATTTCTCATCTGTAGGATGTAGATAATAGTATCTGTTTTTCAACATTCTTGTGAGGAATAGAAACAGTGTATAAGAAATCTCTGACTCACAGTGGGTGCTTAGTAAAGTCATTATTACCTCAGTAGTATCAGATTTTCTGAAATATTAATCTTATACTTAACTGTCTCCTTTGCAAGAAAACTAAGTACTTGATAAAGACCTCATAATATTTATGTTTTACTTAATTTGAGTTATTTAGGATATTCTTCAATTTTGGTTAAGTCAAAAAAGTTAAAGCAGATATCCTTCTGTATATCTGGAAATTTCACTATAGAATATTTTATTCCTTTATTCTCTTGAAAAATGAAAAGCTAAAGTTTATGTATGTTTAGGATTTATAAAATAGTTATATTTTAAACTAAAATATAAAATAAATTTTATATTAATCTGCATAACCTTGTTGAAGAAATAAATATTTTGATTTTAATATTGGCCAAGATATTAAAGGTAAGACAAAATATTTGAATCGGTAATGACTATGCCCCACTCCTCTGACTGAGTCTTGGGAGAAAATAGCTTAGCCCCCCCACCCCCCCGTTTCTGATTTTACTATCTTAAGGGAATGGAACAGGCCTGCTTGTGATGGATAAAATCCAAGGTGGAAAGGTGAGAAGGTGGAGAGGTGGGGAGTTAGTAGGTGGGATGTGGGGAGGTGGGTGGATGGGAGGTAGGGAGATGGGAGAAAGACCACCACAGGAAGTAGGATAGATAGTGAGAACCCACCTACCTTGCAACCATAGACAGAAGAATAGAGGCATGAGAAGTGCCAATGCTAACATTTCCCACCTTTGCTTGCTAAACTCAAGGCTTCTTTCCCTTTTGAATGTCTGGTTATAAAATACTGAGCTATGATAAGTGAAATAAGACAGACAAAGATAAATAATGTCACGATCATACTAATATGTGTAATTTAAAAACGTCAAACTCACAGAAACAGTGAAATGGTGGTTACCAGGGTCTGGAGGGAGGGGAATATGAGGAGGTATTGGTCAAGAAGCACAAAGTTTCAGTTATGCAAGATAAATTATGGAGATCTGCTTAGAATAATATGTCTGTAGTTAACAATATCTTATTGTATATTTGAAATTTCCTAAGAGGGAAGATTTTAAATGTTCTCACCACACACACACATATACACACAAGAATAACTATGTGAATTGATGGATATGTTAATTAACTTGATTTGTGATAAATATTTCACAATGCATATCAAGTCATTAAGTGTATATACCTTAAATATAGCCAATTTCAAATTATCAGCTATATCTCAAAAAATTGAAAAAATACTCAGTTACACTAAAACTTAAATGTAAGCAAGCGAGAACTGAAATCAGCTGGGGATTGTTTAATCAGGACTGAAGGCATTCTACCATGAGACTTTAGTTCATGCCTTCCTACATACCTCACTGCAGAGTAAATGTTCATTTGCTGAAAACAAGTCAAACATGATTTCATTTTTCACAACCACTGGAGTCTGAAATTTAAAAAAGATATAGATACATATTACTCCATAAGAAAAATAAATGAAAAGTAGCTAGATGAAACAGTTATGTACTGGAAACAGGCAAAACCTGATTTCATTTCTCACAGCTAGAGGAATGAAAAGAAATAAAAAATAAACTCATTATTCTGTAAGAGTTCTTAGTGATATAGGTGACATTAATTTAATGTAATGACAATAAAATACAGTATTTGACTATAAAAATAAAATATTATCATGTATTATATATGCAGATAAACTTACCAGGCACAGACACACAAACTGAAAGCTTAAAAAGTAATTTAAAATTTAAATTAACCACTCAAGTTAAACCTGAAGCTTAGTTAACCTCTGGTAGCGAAGAAAATAACTTCATCTTGGATTAAACATATTAGCGGTGATAGCTTTTAAAAATCCTGTCTTACTTTACATACTGTTAAGTTTGAAAATTAGTTTTAATAGTTGCTATTTAATTTGTACACATTTAAATTAGATGCTAATAAATAGCAAAACAAAAATAACAGGAAAACATGACATAACTTTTAAAAATGAACTACAATTTACATCAAGTATATATATTTAACGTATCAAATTACCATGAAAATAATTTTGATTCGAGATTTTATTTTGATGGAAGGTAATGGCATCTTTCACTCATCAGTTCAACTGGCATCTTGAAAACTTCATAAAATTTTGTGTTTGAGAAAAAGTTACCTAAAACTATGTTAAAGGCCTAAATTTATTCTGCTAATCATAAATTATAAACAGTTTATTCTGGTTTGACTGACTGTAATGGAATGCTCCTAAAATGCCCATACTTTTCAGCAAGTACAGTACACAGTAAAATTGATGAGTTATAGATTAGATAAGTATTAGATATGTAAAGTTTGAAGCATCATATTTAACAGTCACCTGCTGATAAGTGAAAAGTAGGAACCGAGTGGACAAAAGGCCACAAATATTAAGGCAGACGTCTCTACAGTGGCATTTAGCATTTTTGTCCCCTATCCGTGTACCTGTTCCCGGGCAGGGTGAACCTTCAGACATCTTACATCTGATCAGTATCGGCAGGGCCCAAGGGTCTGGGTCACAAATCGCTAGTTCTCAGAGATGAATGCAGCTGATCGGTCATTCTATGATCAGAACTTGTTAACCCCCTTCTTGGAAGGGTCCGTGTTGATTCTGATCTCTTAAATCTAGGATTTTAAGGTTTTTAATAACCTTGTTTCTCTCGGACTTAGATCCTGTCCTTTTTGTGTTTTGCTTATGGAATTCTAGGATATGTCCTAAATTGGACGGTGTTTTTAAAATTGTGTGTTGTAATTATTTAGTGGTTTATAAAGTCAATTTAGTGGGTCAGAACTTGATAGAAAGACAAATGAAACAGGTACAATTCTATTAAAATGTGACATAATGGAATAGAGTAAGTCTTACGTAGGAAGGTCATCATTGTCGTGTGGGATTTTGGCTTATATCTATCCCTATTTAATGAGTCACAATGTAGAAGGCAGTTATCACTGTGGACCTAGACATTAAAGTATGAAAAACACTATTCTAGGACTCTCATAGTTTGCCAGATTTTTGGTTCTGGTCCATACTCCAGGGTGACCGATCAAGACATGGAGGCAGTGCAGAGAGAGAAGATATACAGAGGCGGATGTAAGCATTATAATAAATGTAGGTGGAAGTGTCATTAACAACAATGAATGAGTTTACTCTTAATATCAATGTATCTCTGAGAACTAAAGTATGCTAAAAAAAAAGTTCACAAAACTTTCCTATGTCCAAATTTACCACACTTCCACCTAATATAATTCATGTTCTTTATTTGCATTCAATGTAAACCATGTACTTATATTGAGCAGACACTGATATTGTTAGTAACACATCAACAGAGTTTATTACATTAACATCACAGAATTTATATTCTTCATGTCAATGTTATCTAATATTATAAGGAATTTTAAAGTGCGGTTCATATTGATTATATTTAAAATGTTCTGAAAGTAGGCATTTTTAAAATACTCTGTTAGGCAGAGACGTACTTTTTGGTTTTTTTTTTTTCCTTCTTTCTTTTTTGAGACAGAGTTTCACTCTGTAACACAAGCAATTGCACAGTTATGGCTACCACAGTCTCAATCGGCTGGGTTCATGTTATCCTTCTGTCTCAGTCTTCTAAGTAGTGGGGATTAGAGGCACGTGCCACCATGCCTGGCTAATTTTTTGTTTTACTGTAGAGATGAGGTCTCGCCATGTTGTCCAGGCTGGTCTCAACTCCTGAGCTCAGACAATCCTCTCTCCTTGGCCTCCTAAAGTGCTGGGATTATAGGTGTGAATCAGTATGCTGACCAGAGATGAATCTTTTTACTTTTTCATTTTAGCAAATCTTAAATCTAGATTTATCTGATTTTCTCAACTAGTAACGGTACTTGGAAAATATGGAGAATAAAGTACTTTTCTTGCTTCAGTATCACTACTGATGAAGGCTAAAACTTTTAGGAATAAAATCACTTTATGTAGAGATGAGACACGGTTTTAATAGATTCCAAAGATGTACAGAAGAACCAACTCTATTACAATCATTTGCTTAGTTCTAAATAATTTAGCCTATTGGTTTTCTAGGCACTTAAGTGAAATTAATGGGAGATTCAATGAAGGAAAAAGGCATTAGTGATAATTAAACCCTTGAAAAAAACAAAATATACTCAAACTAATATACTCACAATAAGCTATTAAGAAGATAGACCAGCATGTTTAGAGTTTTAATCTGTGTTAAGTGCTATTTAAAATGAAGGTTTCTCAAGTGATGTCCTAGTCAATATGATTCACGTGGTTGGGTATGGGGTTCAGAAATAAAGGTGGCCTCTGGAAAAATACTTCAAGAATGGTTGAAATAGAGATATCTAAATGCAAAACTTTTGGTCTGGAAAATTAACGCAAACAAACACTAAAGAAAAGAGACTTGCATGCCATGTAAGTCTGTGCTACAAAACAGGAAGGAGAATGTCAGTCAGAAATTAAGGAATAATATCACACAGTATTTTAGGCTGTAATTTGACATTTTGGAGAGAAGAAAAAAAATCAAGGCTCTAAACAAAATTCAATAATCTTGTAGAAACCAGTTCAAGAAATATTAAACTATACTGATAAATATTTATTTCTGGCTTAAATGCCAAAAATCAAGTACTTTTTCTTGTTAAATACCACAAGAAAGAATTACCCTAACTCATTTAAAAAATACAAATTTATATTACTAGGACACTGTATCCCCATAATTAGTAAGCATTTTGTTTAATAGTAAAAAATGTCTTACCCGACTAACTAAAATGTCCTGTGGACGTTTCCAGGAATAAATTTTTAGTGATGGTGGTAACTCAATTTTTCCTTCAGGGTCTTCAAAAAAATGCTATATAAAAAAGAAATTGAACTTTGTCTCCATATGGTTTTTTAAAAATGAAAACAATTCAATCTTAATAAAAACAAATACATGCATAGAGTTTATCAATCAATAAGCATTTACAGAGCAATGTGTGTGGTTTTCTCAGAGCTAATTCATGGTGTATTTGGAATATGCTGACTTTAACAATACTGTATATAATTAATGGGATGTTGATTGTTGAGTAGTAGTTTCATTGTTGAGAAAAAAGTTCAAACAAGCATGAACTGCTTTGAAATGTAAATTAGTTATGGCAATAAAACTCTTTTAGATGGGCCAAATATGGCCATATTTTCAAAAAATATATATTTTTTATCTGAATAGAAAAGATTGAAAAAAATATTTACTTAATGTTCAACTGTTAGAATCATAAACAGGATTACATGTAAATAAAACTTGAACCTTTGACCTGACTTTCATTTGTTAATTTTTAAAATCAATCTTATTCTTTTGAGGTAATTATATATTTATATGCAGTTGCATGAAATACTACAAAGGTCTCTTTTCTGTATTCCGTTTACCCAGTTTCTCCAATGGCAACATCTTGTAAAACTGCAGTAGTGTCACAACCAGGATATTGACATTGACAGTCAAGATACAGAACAGTTTAATCACCATGAGAACCCTTCCTGTGCTCTTTCGTGCCATACCTACCCACCTACTCCCTACCCCATACTCCATCCCTAAAAATGAAAATCACAGCCGGGTTCGGTGGCTCAGCCGGTAATCCCGCACTTTGGAAGGCTGAGGTGAGTGGATTGCCTGACCCCACGGGTTCGAGACCCACCTGGGCAACTTGACGAGACCTCATCTCTACAATAAATCAAAAATTAGCCAGGCATGGTAGCACGCGCCTGTAGTTCCAGCTACTTGGAAGGCTGAGGTGGAAGGATCATCGGAGCCTAGCAGGTCCATGTTGTGGTGGCCGGGAGCGGCCACTGCACTCCAGTCTGGGTGACAGAGTGAGACTCCAACTCAAAAGAAAAAAGAAAATCACTAATCTGATCTCTGTTTCTATAATTTGTCATCTCAGTAATACATAGATGGAATCATATAACATATGATATGACAGTATGAAACCTTTAGGATTGGCTTTTTTCACTTAGCTTAATTACCTGGCAATTCATTCAAGTTGTTGCAGATATTAAGAGTTTGTTTTTACTGCTAAGTAATATTTTATGGTATATATATATATATTTGTTTATCATTTGCCTATTGAAGAACATTTGGGTTGTTTCCATGTTTGGGCTATTACTATTAAGGTTGCTATGAATGTTTGTGTGCAGATTACAAGTTTTTGTGTGAACATAAGTTCCCATTTATCTAGGATAAATGCCCAAGAATGCTATCAATTTATTAATATTTGAACCCAAATTATGGGCTACTTAGTGAGTTCTGGGAAAAAACTGATGTCCAAGTGCCTAATCTCAAATGCTAGCAATCTAGTAAGTAAAGAGACACTTGAGGTAGATACTATGCAACTGTTCTCAGAATTCATAAAACACTGGTAAAAAAAAAATTTTGCAAGAAAAAACATGAAAAGTGCCAGGTATATGAATAAAATGCTTGAGGAATATAACCTTTCTGTATGAGGGGAAAGAACAACTAAATTTTGCCTGAGTTAATAAGGACAGGATCAAATAAATACTGTCTTGCAGTTTTCATAGTAATCATATGTTTTACGCTAAGGCTGGTATGCCCTGATAAATGAGTTATATTTGATAGCATTGTGTAAGATTTAAACATTATAAGTGTATATGTTTATCAAGAACATGTAGTTTATTGTCACATTGAAAACACTGGAATAATTTGAATGAAGACAAGGTCACCTCAACATATAGCCAAGATGTGGTGGCCAAAAATGAGTCTTTGAAAAATTGGTTGAGGTTTCCAGGTGCTGTGCTAGACTTTTGGGGTTTCCTCACATTTTTTTCCTTGCAAATATTAATTTAGTTGTTTTAAAGTACCTATCTGTAATTCAAAAATCTGAGCCATTCACAGATCAGTTTTTATTATCTGATTTCTCCTCTTGGTTTTCAGTCAATTGGTTGTATTTCTTTCCATGCCTGGTAAATTTTCATTGAATAGTGTATACTAGGTATAAAAATTGTCATACCCACTAGATAATGATGTCTTCTTCTAGAAAGGAGGGTTTTATTTCCTTTTGGCAGGCGGAGTAAAAGATAAACTTGACCCAGTCAACACTGGATGTCAGGATATGACAGGGCTGACGTAACTTTGTCTTGCCTTTACTTCATACAGAATGCTATAGCCATCCTGGGGTACTATCTAAAAGGCTGGAGGGTTTATTTGGGTCCTTTTACCTCAATATACCCTCAAGTCCAATTTTTCATCATATCATCATAAAATTTTTACTTATTTAGCCTCCAAACTGCTGTTTTTAATCATTTGCTCAGCAGCTTGCCCTTCACACATAGCTTAGGAGTTCAGCAAATGCCTTAAAAGTATATACAAAAATTTTAGAACACTTCTTTGCAGTTACTCCTTGGATTTTGGTTCAAATTCTGACTGCTTTGGCAACCCCAGATAATATCCTCTGTCTCCCCAGTCTGGAGGGACTGACTCAGGCCCCAAGTCACTAATTTCTGCTTGATTTCTAATCATCATGCCTTGAATTAATAAATGTTCTTGAGATTAAAAACAGAAACATACAACAAACAAGGTGAATATGGAGCTCACCTTGTCATAATTCCCTTTTCTCCAAGGTTTGGACTTTTTTCACTAAGAAGTCAGTGGTAATATTACTGTACTATTTTTCTTTAGGTGTGTTCCCTATATCTACCTTACAGTAATTCATCAAATACCTCTAAATTTAGTTCACTCCTCATTTCCTTTAGTTGCTATAACTTAGCTGAAAAAGTGAGATTTGACTCTGGATTTAGAGGGAAGGGTTATTTAATCTGAGGCTGATTTCCTGACAACTAGCTTCACATATAAGGAAGTAGCCTTCTGCAAAACTCCAAGGATACCTGCTATCCTTGAATGCTTACAACAATTATTCTTGGTAAAATATGGATGTTGCAAATCAGGACTAAAAAATTACCATGCCACCATATCACAGAAATGTAATCACGAAAGTTGAGTACTGTCTGCCACTTATCCCAGGGAAAGGGCTGTTACTTTATGAGCCAAGAATGCTGAAGTTGTGGGACAGAACTGGGAGTAGGACATGAGGTTCTATCCCAGATTTTACCACTCTGCACTGTATTTTGAACAGGTGCTTTCCTACCTTTGAAAGCTACAGTGGAAGAATGAGATGTTGGTTATGGTTCTCAAGTGTCATACTCCATTGTGAACCCCTGTTCACAGAAAGAATTGACCTAGCACTTCCCTAATCATGCAGTTTTATACAGCTCCTTAGTCGAAGGGTCACAGTATCTACACTGGGGTCCAATATTCTGTCACCCTGATTTGTATAAGCTGCCCCCAAATGAAAAGGGCATCAGGTGACCAGCACATTTGCTACTGCATGTCTCTCAAATTTTCCTTTGATGAATGTTTTTCCATCAGATGCTCCCTTACTTTAGTGATACTGATAAATTTGATAACTGGTCTTTCAGAGTTCTGCAAGATTTTTTCACAGATTACGACAAGCTCCCTAAAAAGTTGTTTTTTATATTCTATTTCAAAAATTTCAAGCACTCTTCCCATCCCCTGTCCTTGTTTATCCACACTTTGGAGTGACTCATCTCTAGAATTTTTCCAGAGCTCAAGTGCTCAACTAAGGATTTGCTCAATCTATCCTTTTGATGTAAATTCTGAAAGCTACACACATACATACACACACAATCACCATAAATTTAAAATTACTGCTAAAAATACAAAGAATAGTCCATTTTCATTTGAACCCAGAGAGTTCAAAAGCCCTTTGCATCTGAAAATTCCATAATCATTCTAGGTATGGTAAAAAGAATGTGTTCCCTCACAAGTTGCTAAATTGGAAAGTATTCAATTGCTAACAGAGTTAGCATTTAGTTACCTTTATTGGATAGCTTTTGTGAACAAATAACTATTATTAATCATGCAGCTTGTGATGCTAGTTTTGGGATCAAAATTTAAATGTTAACATTTACCAGTTCAGTATGCTCTATGCAAATAGAGACATCAGAGTGCAACCTAGCCATCTTGGCAATTTTATTTGTGTTTTAAAAATTGTATTGTGTTCTATAAATATTTCAAATGAATTCTTGCACCAAATAGGTCATTTGTTAAATGCTACCCAGACTCATAGCCTCAACAAAGAAGTCTTTAAAAATATAATGTTTTTAAATAGGCAAAAAAACCTAAAATAATATAATTGGAAAGTGTAGGAACTCCACACAGTTCCAATCTCAGGGATATATCATATTCTCATGACAAAAGGAAACAAAAGAGCAACTCAGATTTTTATCCACATATCTTGAGGAGCTTTAAGAGAAATACAGGTCTTAACTCACAGGAATGTCTCTACTTCTCTTTTAGAAATTATCTTTCCTACAATTTTCAGATCACAGCTCAAAAGTCTGCTGTGGATTCTTATTTTCTAAGCCACCCTCTCTAAGTGCCTGGTTCCTAACACTGTTTAAAATCCACTGGTGAGCCAATGTGTGTCTCTTAATTTCCCCTTTATTTCAATATAACTCTTTGGTCATATCTCGTTCCTCCCATTCATCAAAGCTTAAGACAAGGTGGGGGCTGGGAGAAGTAGGTAGATGAAGACAAAATTTTCTGGTTTTTTTTGTTTTTTGGGTTTTTTTTTTGAGTTGGAGTCTCACTCTTGTCACCCAGGATGGAGTGCAGTGGCAGGCATGCGGCCACCGCAGCCTCCACTTGTGGGGCTTAGGCAAGCTTTCCACCTTAGCTTTCCAAGTAGCTGGAACTACAGACATACGCCACCATGCCCAGCTATTTTTTGTGATTTATTGTAGAGAAGAGGTCTCGCCAAGTTGCCCAGGCTGGTCTCGAACCGCTGGGCTCAGGCAATCTTCTAGCCTCGGCCTCCCAAAGTGCTGGGATTACAGGCTGAGCCACCACACCCGGCCAAATTTTTCCTTTTAAATGGAGAAGAAAACTGAGTACACTCTGATGCTAACAAATATTATTCCATTATACAATTAAAAACCAAAATGATATCAAGCCACATTCAAGTTCACTTACAAGTGTCGGGCTTTTTCCTGTTTTGTCCTTCTCTTTCCCGCCTTTGCCCGCATCCCACTTTTCTGCATTTACGTCGGCTTCACTCCACTCCGGCCAGATTGGGAATCTCCCCTTCTTTTGTTCAACAGAACTAGGTTGTGTATTACTGCTAAAATGATAGTAACTGGAGAGAGAGTGGATGGGTTAGTTTTAATTAAAATCCCTAAGATCAAATGTTGGATTAACTGCCAAATTTAATTGTCTTGTCAACAGAGTCATGTTAAATACATTTTTCAGTGCAGTCACACCTGTAGCTAGATAGCTTCCACATGCTAAGGTTCTAGAGGTTAAAATAGCCCCAAAGAAATTATTCCATAAACAAATTTTGAGCTTTAGTTTCTACTTATGAATGTAAGACATTCAAAAATAGATACAGAGTGTTATCAAATATCATAAACATATAAAATATATATAATTCACATTTAGAGCAACTCCTTTACACTAATAATGGGAATAGCTTTTAGAAGATTATTATAACTATACATTTGAGGTTTTTCAGTTAAAAATACTATGTGATCATTGTTTTTCAAAAAAACTATAAAATACAAGTCAGATAAATAAGAAAAATATACTCACCCCTCTCTTGATGCTACAAATTAATAACTATCTATCTTCTCAGACCAATAAAGAATACATACATTTTTCTTTAAAAATTGAAGTATTCTGCATAAAATTTTAATGGGATACTTTTTACCACTTATCAGCATATTTTTAACATTTATCATGCCCTTATATAATACTCCATTTTATGAATATACCACATTTTATGTAACTAAGCTTCTATATTTGGAAATTTTGAGGTTTTGATTTAAAACCTTTTTCATTTTCTTAAGCAAGACTATCGTTGTTGTCCTTGTTGCTAAATCTTTGCTTATATTTGTCATTATTTATTTAGGATAAATTTTGATACTGTATCAAAGGATATGCACATTTAAAGTCTGTGATGTATTCTGGCCCGTTTTCTACAGAAAAAACTGGACCTGTTGTCTATTCTCACTATATACATATTAGAGTTTTCATATCTTTCAGCCCTGACTATTTTTGTTCATTTTCATGAATTTTAAAGTCTAAAATAGGAATCTTAGTTAATTTTCAAGTTTTTAAGTACTTGTGAGGCTAGAACCCTGCTCTAGACTCTGAGACAAACAGTTGGAAAAAAACCAGACTGAATTATCTACTCTTATATAGTTCATATTCTAGTGGGTTCTAGACACAAAATAAACAGCATAAATTAAGTAAAATATATAGTATATAGTCATGCATTGCTTAACAGCAAGGACACGTTCTGAGAGATGCATTGTTAGGCAATTGGGCTATTCTACGAAAAACAGTGTACTTACACAAATCTAGGTGGCAGAGTCTACTACACACCTAGGCTGTATGTTCTAGCCTATTGCTCCTGGGCCAAAAACCTGTACAGTGTGTTACCATACTGGATATTATAGGTAGCTGTAACACAATGATAAATATTTATGTATCTAAATATAGAAAAGGACAATAGAATATATAGTATAAAATAAAGAATGCAATGCATGTTTAGGCCACTTAGGCCACTTACCATCAATGGGGCTTGCAGGACTGGAAGTTGCTCTGGGTGAATCAGTCAGTGAATGTGAAGGCCTAGGACATTACTGTACTCTACTGTGGACTTTATAAACACTGTACACACTTAGGCTACACTAAATTTATTTTAAAAATCTTTCTTCAATAACAAAATAACTTCAGCTTGCTAGATGACCACTCTCATATATGCAGATCATGATTGACCGAAATGTGGATATATGGCAGAAGACTGTATTTGAAAGTGAAAGGGAAGTATAAAACAAGACAGGGGAAATAAAAAGATAAGTTGTTCAATTTTTAAAACAGTGGTTAAGGAAAGTGTCTATAGTAAGGTAATATCTCATAGCGAAAGAAGGTGAAGGATCAAGCTATGTGCATGTCCACAGAAATAATGCTCCAGATGCAGGAAACTGCAAGTATAAACACCAAGGAAGAGTATTCCAGATACAGAGAGCAATCCGGCTTATTTTAAGGACAACGGAGGTCAGTGTAGCTTTGGCTGAGAGAGAAGAAGGGGAAGTAGAGGAAGATGATTGCAGAGAGGTAACAAGAAATGTGAGGATTGTCAGGGTGATCTAAGCTAGGGGAAGGAAATTGGTCTTTAGTCTGGGTGAGACAGGAAGCCAAAGGAGGGTTTTGAGCAGGAGTTCAAAATGATATAACCAAAATTTGGTGATCATTCTTGCTGCTTTGTGGAGAAAAGGCCAAAAGAGATAGGGAGACAAAGCAGAAAACTTTGAAATAACGGGTGAAAGCTAAGGGGTGTTTTAACAGAGTTGACAACTGTAAAGATGGCAAGAAACAGTCCAATTCTGTGTATATTTTTAAGGTAGAGAAAGTAGATAAAGTTGTCATTTCCTAGTAGAAAGAAGGAAGACCATGGAGAGGGGCAAAATGGAGGGTGGGTGAGGGATATAAAGCAACAGCTCATTGATAAGTGAATTGTGTTTTAGATGCCTAAAATACACCCTTGGAAGTATGGAATAGGTAATCAGACAAGATTCTGAAGTTTCAAAGAAGAAAATTGGGCTAAAAGTAAAACTTTGAGCGTCATCAGCATTTAGATGGTATTTAAAGTCTTAAGACCAGATGAAATCACTAAGAAAATGACTACTTAAGAAAGAGGTACTCTCAGGGCTGCTATTTAACACACCTAACAACTGGTGTGGATTGAATATTCGCTAATCTTAATGAACTCTGAATACAATGCTGAATCAATGTTTTCCAAGTCTCCAGCTATGCCAGACATTTAATCTTTATGTAGTGGGGGCTGAGATGTCACATCCTCAGGGTGGTCCAGAGACCCAGGGCAAAAGGCAGAAATGTCTGGACCCAGAGTTATTTAAGGTAATTGTTAAGTTTATCTACCAATAAATATATGAATATTCCAATACTGTAATAGTCAACACAGCTGTATTGCTGCCTTTAGTACTCTATGTGTGAAAGACAGAGTGATGAGGAAGAATCAGCTGAGGAAGCTCAGAAAAAAAGCAATTATTGAATTTGGTTGATAGAATAATTTCTACCCCCAGTATATACACATATTAGTCCCTGAAGCATGAGGACGTGTTACCTTCCATGGCAAATGGGAGTTTGTAGATGTGATTAAGTTAAGTATCTTGATATGGGGGAATTATCTTGGATTATCTGGTTGGGCTTAATGAAATCCCAAGAGTCCTTAAAAGTGGAAGAAGGAGTCAGAAAGGTCAGAGGGAAAAGCCACCACTGAAGAATGGACAAAGACCAAACAGTGAGTTTTGAAGACAGAGAAAAGAGGACAGAAGACAAGGAATGTTGGCAGGTTCTAGAAGCTGGAAAAGGCAAAGAAATGAATTCTCTCCTAGAGCCTACAGAAGGAAAGCAGCATTGCCAAAACCTTGTTATTAGTTCTGTGAAGGTAGTTTTGGACTTCTGACCTCTATAATTCCAGGGCAATAAATTTGTATGGTTTTAAGCTATTCAGTGTATGGTATTTTATTACTGTAGCAATAGGACACAAGTAAAATGAGGTAGGAAAAACACAGTAGAAGATGTTGCCTCGGAAACCAAATGAAACAACTGGTTTTTTGTTTGTAGTTTGTTTTGTTTTTGTTTGTTTTTCTTTTTCAAAAATGAGGGAATGAGCAATGCTGCTAACAGAGCAAATAAGATGAAGTGAAAACTACATGTTAAGTTTAGCAAGAAGAACTTTAAAGTTCCCTCAAATATCACTTCCTGTGGGTGTGGGCTGAGTTTCCTGAACACCCTATCTATATTAGCAATGCTCACCTCTACATCATTTCATATTGCTTTATTTTTATGACACTTGACAATACTCTCATTAATCCTTTATTTATGTGCTTATTGTGTAAGTAAGGCAGGATTTGTAAGTTCCACAGTGGTAGGAACATTAGATTTGTTTGTTCATTTCCTCCATCTCCAGCTGCTGGACTAGCACCTGGACAAAGTAGGAAATCTATCTATCTGTCCTCTATTTACACAACATGAAAGAAACGATGTCTTGATTTTACATTTCTAATAATTTCTCATTTAAACTGTTGCAAATGTTTATATGTAGGTAGAGACTGAACAGATGCTCACCAACTCTATTCCTATTTCTCTTGTTAGTTGGGGTAGTACTAAGTAATGATGTCTCTGACAGCAAAATGTGGGTAGATAATCTTGTATCCCATCTGCAGGCTAATAAAATATCCTGTGAGATACTTCTCACTGTCTTCCTGCTCAATATATGGCTGAGTCCTAAGAGGATGCCTTACAAAATGGTTACACCACAGATGAAAGGAGCCAGAAACCCTCATTCAGCACATGCAAAGCCACCATTAATCAGACTCTGGTATGAATGAGAAATATCCTTTGTTGTGTTATGTCGCAGAGATTTGAGGGTTGTTTGATATTGTAGCATTGACTAATATAAAGAGTATAATTGTTTTCTTAGGATTTAGATTTTCTCTTGTATATTTTTAATCATGTATATAAGTGTATACATGTTAAATTACTTACATATTATTCTTCTATTATCTTAAACTGGTAACACTTGATTGTCTTGTTATTTGTGATTTCTGCCTATATATATTTTGCATATTCTTTGATTATGAGCTCACGCTTATCAGACTGGAGGAAAAACTCAAGTAATATTGAGGTTTTTTCTGTCAGACATCCCAAATGAATAAGCCATCCAGGAACCCATGGATACCGTTAAAAGCAAATCTCAACCCTATGCAGGTCTCAAAGAGTTTTCATTTCTCAAGGAAGATTATTTTTTCTTTTCAGCCAGATGTCAGGCAAAGAAAGATTAGCTTTCTTATCATCTTCCTGTGCTTAGATGAATTTTCCCATTCACCTGTTTTAAGAGAAACTTTTGGAAAACTATGTCTTTATCTAAGGCTGGAATATCCCCTTTCCTCATTTGGGCGCAAGACTTTATCCTGTATATGTTAAAACAAAAGATCACTGTTTTATAAGTCTGATAAGATTTCACTCAGACTCTTTAACTCTGATCATCATGATCTTCAATTCCTTACTTAATTCTGGATCCTGAGATTTTTATTTATTTATTTTTTT